CAATTCAAACAAACAAAGTTAGTGTGGCACGTTTCTTGCAAGTTAATGCAGTTAAAGCTGATAAGATAAGACAAATGATATACAGTGATTAGCACTTAAACTGAAAAGACAAATTAGAAACGTGTGTGATTTTATTCTGAAAAGCATGAACTAGGAAACAGTACATGGCTTCGTGTTGTGAATGATCGGCATGAGTTTTTTTTTCCCCATAACAACAACAGTGCGGCAGCGCAGAAGTTTCATGACGCATTTGTAGATGCGAAATAAACATCACAATCAGTCAGCATGGCGGACCTGGAGCCGCGGGTTTGCGCCATTTTGGAGATAATGGTGAACGCGGCGGTGTCAGAGATGAACAAAGTTATCGGCGCCTCGGATCCTCCGCGTCCTCAAGAGACATCATGTGTGGCCGAAGACACGCACGGGTCCCCGGAGGATAAGGTACGGGATAAGGTATAAGGTGGTTTACGGTCGTCAGGTGTCCGGGCCGGTTCTGGTCCCCGCATTGGTCCCGGTTTCTCACGAGCCGACGCTTCCGCCAACTGTCGTCCCGACAACCGGCCGAGCATAGAAATAGAAGAGCTAGCAGTTAGCTCCGGTTAGCTGCGAAAGAGCAGCAGGATGCCGCGCTGTCCTGCTGTATGGAGCATGTGTTTAGGCTAAACTTCGCGTAAATATGAGGGGCTGGTACACGAAGTCTGGGAGAATCCACCTCTGGGCGCCATTTTGGGTTGGGCAGCAGGCCCGGGCTTATCTATCTAGTGTATGTCTAGAAGCGCCTCAGCTACAGGTTTCCACAGAGCGCAGGATCGATTATCAGCTGATATCTGATCAATAACACACTCTTCTGTGATCATAATGACTGCCACAGAGTGTTACCCTGTTGTGCGGTTTTGGGGTTTTCCTTGTATACTTGTGATCCCGGGATCTGATTGGCTGATCAATATATCACATCATTGTTAGACCTGATTTTTTAGGTCAGGACTTTTCAATTATTCCACTTTTCTGAGTTTAAAGGAAAAGTTTTACCATCTTGCAGCATGACAAAGTGCAATGTCCTCTTCACTTCATTAGATTACTGAACAACGCCGTCTCAGATTTTCTGATTATCTTTCAACTTGGACTATTTAATAAACCTTCCAGAATGAGTTTAAATCAGGTTCATTATTTGACGGTGGCCTGTGTTCTTCCCATCAGGTGATCCAGTTGAGCGTCTTCATGTCGTCTCTGGCTCAAGAAGCTGTGGAGAAGATCTGCCAGCTCTTCCATGAATGTTCCTCTGCGCTGCGGCTAGAAGTACACGACCTTTGTGCTTTAATTCATCCGCCCACTATAACAGTCCAGCAAGAAATCCTAAAGTAGTCCTTGTTTTGTAGGTGACGCAGGGTGTGGCAGAGATCGAGGACCTGAAGAGGAGACTGGAGGTCGTGGAGACGGAGTTGAAGCTGGCGCTCGAGGGCAGCGGAGGTCAGAAGGACGTGGAGGAGCTGACGGAGGGAGGCAGCGGGCAAAAGGAGGGGAGGGTGGACGTTGAGGTTGTTCAGCTCGAGCAACGCTCAGGGAGGAAGAGTCGCAGAAGTGAGGAGTTCTTCCTTTTAAACACATTAGTTAGCTTTTGTATTCCACAAGTGGTGTTGTTTTAAAACTCAAATCTCACGCCTGAAAGGAAAAGAAAATATTTTTAACCTTTCTTTTTCATTTCTCTTGCCGTCTCCACTCTGTCTGTTGTATTTGACGAAGCAGAAGTGACCACAAACCTGATGTTTGTCTTTTGTTCTGCGTAGGTGTGGTTAGCGGGGACGCCGGAGTGAAGAGATCGCCCATAATTCATCTGTGGAAAGGCAGAACATATGATGTAAAGTCTTGCGTCTTTTTCCCATTTCTGTTTGTCATCTTCGCATCACTTGAACATGTTTATTCGCTGTTTCCAAATCGCATAGATTAGTCAGAAAATCTGACCAACTTAAAAATAAAGCAGGGCTGAACACAGGCTTTCCACAAGGTTTCAGATCCTGTGTGGATCCTGCCAACCTAAATTTGTCCTCATCCTTTCTTCTGGTCAGGACAGCATCCAGCCTGTTATAATAAAAGAAGAAGGGTTTGAGTGCTTAGCCGACCGGATGTCGTCTGACTCTGGTCAGTACAGAGATGAGTTTTGGCAGGATGAGGACGACCCCGACTACCAGGTTGGCTTCATTAATGTTTTTATATTAACTTACTTATTTCTTTTTTCACCTTGCAGCTTTATTATTTCATTGCATGTGCTTTTAAAAATATCTTATTTATATGTTTGTTGTTATTTTATTGTACTGTATTAAGAGATCGGTCCAATTCAATGTCAGCTGATGAACATTTTAGACAGAGTTGGGTTTTTTGGCATATTTCTTCACTTATACTAACACCCTTTTATTTAAATAGGAATTTATGATACCCAGAAACCTTTCAAGCACTGGAAACGATTAGTTAATTCACTGCAATATTCATCGCCCATGAAATTGAATGAGTTATGGTAACATTTGATGAGCTAAACCTGACAATCAACAATCATGCCTTTTCTTCTCTGGCAGGCGGAACCAGACGATCCAGATGATGTCGACCCAGGATACACCACCAGATCCAAGCGTGTTGCAAAGGGAAAGTCCCACCAAGCTCAAGCAAAGAAGGAGAGTCAGAAGGAGGCGCCTCTGAGCTGCAAACACTGCCGGAAAACCTTCACCAAGCTGCTGCAGCTCAAAGCCCACCAGGTCGTCCACGGGGCGAGCGCGGAAAAGCCCTTCCAGTGTTCTCAGTGTGGCCGAGGCTTTGCGTTCCAGCGAAGCCTCAGTGCTCACATGTTACTGCACACAGGTGAGCTCCGGCTTTATCCTTCATACTAAAGCAGGCACAGTCTGTACAGGTGCACACTGTGAAGGCAGGTTTGTTGGTGAACTTGGAGCAGAAACAATCCACAAGCTGACCGACGTCCATCACTAACACACTCTTATTTCTTGGTGAAATTATGTATTGGTAAAGTTAAGTTAAACTAATATTGGCTAGTTTACAAAATCAAGAAAATCTTAGGGAGACAACAAAATAAACATTTAACTGGAGTTGCTAGGCTAGACAGCTAATTTAAATCAGTCTTTTGATTTTTGTGGACTCCCAGAAATGTTTGGTCATGCCTCGTGTAAAGCACGTGACTGTTTTTGGAAAATTGTTTCTTTACACTGATGAGAATAACGAGACTCATTTAGTTAATCGGCTTAAAATGACATCAGAATTGTTTCGTACTCATCGTTGTTTGTTGCTGAGCGTGTTTTTGCTTTTCTGCATACAGGTGAGAGGCCACACACCTGTGATGTTTGTGGGAAAGGTTTCACCCTGAAGCAGCTCCTGAGAAACCACCAGCGTCTCCACGCTGACGTGCGGCCGTATCGCTGCGAGCAGTGCGGTAAGAGCTTTTACCGGGCGCACGGCCTGAAGATGCACCAGATGGTCCACACTGGGGAGCGTGCCTATAACTGCCAGTACTGCAACAAACGTTTCACAATACAAGGGAACCTGCAGCGCCACCTGCGCATACACACGGGCGAGAAGCCGTTCAGGTGCGAGACTTGCGGCAAAAGCTTCAACCAGGCCGACACTCTGAAAGGCCACCAGCGGATTCACACCGGCGAGCGCCCCTTCAGTTGCGACACTTGCGGTAAGCGCTTCATCCAGAAGAGCGCGCTGAAGATGCACCAGAAGACCTCTCACGTGGACGAGAAGTCGCTCGCCTGCGTCGCGTGCGGCACCACGGTGGCCTGCGTCGACTCGCTGCGCAAACACCTCCAGACGCACGCGGCGACTATTCCGTGCACCTGCGTGCTCTGCGGCCAGCGGCTCAGCTCCATCACCGAACTGCGCTCGCACCAGCAGCATCACACGGTGGACCGGCCTCACAGCTGCGGGCTCTGCGGCAAGAGTTTCAAGTCGTCCAGTTACCTGAAAATTCACCTGAAAACGCACAGCGGGGAGAAGCCGTTCTCCTGCGACATCTGCGGTCGCATGTTTACACAGCAAAGCAGCCTTAAGTCCCATCAGGTGGGTTTTTGCTGCTTGTTGCACAATGTGAAACTCATTCATGCAAACCAGTCCTCAACATTAGGACGGACACCCAGACTCCAGCCTTTTAAGCTGCAATGTCTAAAAAGTGTTCAGATAGAGAGTAGTGCTTGATGATTTTGGCTTCCAGCTGTTATAAAAACTGTGTGATCAGGATATAGCGATTACTTTTTTGTATTAATTTTTGCTTAAAAAAATTTGCTCTCCAAGCAGAGCCATCATTAACCGCTGCTTTTAAACATCTCTGATATGGTCTGCTTTCGGCACAGCAGATCCAAGGCACTAGTTAACTAACGGCTTTCCATGACTCGTCGTAGCTAACGTGCCGGTCTCCTGAGGTGCAGGTTTGCTGCTTCCTGGAGTCCTTCCGTCATTATGTGGTGTCTCAGGCTCCCACAGTGGAACCTGCAGGCTGGCAGGGACCAGTGGTTGCCCCTTGCAAGATGGGTTCTGTGGATAAAAACAACCACTCTTCTGGGTCTAAGTCCCCACCAGACAACTTCACCCGCGCCAACCTTATTTTTCCCTTCTCCCTTTGCTTTTCAGAGTTCATTAAATGTGCATTTGCTGTTAAATAATTGAGATTGCAGTAGTTATAAGCAGTGTTGGTCAAGTTACTTGAAAAAAGTAATCAGTAACTAATTACTGATTACTTCCCC